TTTTAAAAACTGAGCTCAAATAAATGATTAGTGGTAATAAAAGCCGAGGGAGGTCAACAGTGATCACTGACTGTTTTAGGAGCTTTTTGAGATCAAATAGAAGAAAATACAAAACATTAAACATGTTAACAACACAAAAGCCAGACTAGACACGCAGACTACTTTAGGCCCGGAAGTAGGATTCGTCGCGTCATCACCGAACAACCGGATACAGAATTAACTGGGTTACATTCTTATTACTGATCAAAAAAATTTGTTTTGCTTCAAATTATGCTTCAAAATTCAAATGGTCTTACTATAGCATTTGAACTATGCATTCATAGAATTTATAGGGTATTATGTTGCCGAACAAATGAATAAATGCCAGTCCCGGCATTTCCCGGGCATGACAGATCCCCATGTACTAAATAGAAGCAAAGGAGTTGAATTGAAAAGGGGAGGGAGTGTGGGGAACGTAAATGAGAATGAACCGCTTGTGGAACTGGGGGAACCTATATAGATGAGAGCCGGAAGGAGCCTGTTTGGAAGCGTGGTCCCACTCCTGAAATTCTGATACTCAATCTCCAATTGTGAGTCAATATTTTTTGTGACATTGAATTCAGAGTTAAGAGACGAAACATTGAGAGAAAATCTTTGTTGAACAGATCCTGTCCTCACTGTGTCTCCATCATGGCTGAGTCCTGGAGCCTCGGTAACTCTGAACTGTGAGGTTGAACATCCGTCTGCAGGATGGAGCTTCTACTGGTATAAAGCTGTTCCTGATCTATCAGAGAAATCCTCCAGTTATGAGCTGCTACCTGATGGCAGTGGGACTGCACAGGACTCCTACATCATTCATGGACAGACACACACAGCAGGATATGTGTGCAGAGCTGGAAGAGGAGACCCAGAGTATCACACTGATCACAGTCAACCAAAGTTTGTCTGGTCTGCAGGTCAGTTTGTAATCTTTGATCTGTAATAATGTCACAGGGTGGCTGTAGCTCAGGAGGTAGAGCTGGACACCTACTGATTGGAAGGTTGGTGGTTCGATCCCTGGCTCCTCCAGTCTGCATGTCAAGTATCTTTGGGCAAGATACTAACCCCAACTTGCTCTCCAAGGCATCCATCGGAGTGTGAATGTACTTAGAAAGCACTATGTATAGATAAAGTGCTTGTGAGAATGGGTGTGATTGGGTGAATGAGGTATGTTGTATAGAGCGCTTTGAGTACTCCATGAGAGTCGAAAAGCGCTATATAAGAATCAGTCCATTTACATATGTTGGACATCTTATTACAGATCACATGACAGATGATGAAGACATTTGTTGGCTGAATGATGTAAACACAAGCAAACACTCTCTTACACAGATTTAGTGCATTCGGATAGTGTGAAGATTTGTGTAGTGCATACTGTACACCTCTGTGTACTGCACACTGTGGATAAACTACAGGAAAGCAGGTTTACAAAAACTTCAAGTAGCTTCTAATGATGCCCGAGATTATTACTGAGAGACCCAGATGGTTCAGTGCAAGTGACTTCATTTAATGTTGTATTATTGTATGTGTAAAGTTATTGTTGCTTTAACAACTATGAGATTTTTTAATGTGTAAACACTGATTGACTAACCAAATACCTTAATTAAAATATTTTCACTGATCTTCAGAAGATAAAGTAGTATTTTTACTGTGATATTTTGATCCTAACATCTGTGAGTTTTGTCTCTTCACTGCATGTTGTTTCCAGATGTTCATTCAGCAGCGTCTCTCACAGTGAGTCCTGACAGAGTGCAACACTTCACCTCTGACTCTGTCTCACTGACCTGTGAGGGAAACTTCACTGAGTGGAGAGTGAGGAAGTTCTCTGAGGACGGCCGACTCTCTGACTGTAGGAGAATGACTGGATCCACATGTGACATCAACACATCAAAGTCAGATACTGCAGTGTACTGGTGTGAGTCTGGATCAGGAGAGTTCAGCAGTGCAGTCAACATCACTGTACAGAGTATGTTATTATACATTTACTTCTTGGATCTGAATGATTCAGACATCAAATGAACATTTGTCCCAGCTTTGCTGTATGTGGAGTAATTATGTGGTAAAACAAATATGACACATACCGTAGTTTTTAAATATCCAAGATCAGATCTTCATGATGAACATTTGTACAATCTGTTCTTATTATTGCTTGTCAGCTTTTTCTAAAAGTGTGCACCAGCTGATGTGACTGAAACAATTGTGTGTGATTGTGTCACAGATGATGGTAACGGTCCTATCCTGGTGAGTCCTGTTCATCCTGTGACTGAGGGAGCTTCTGTTAGTCTGAGCTGCAGTTTGAGAACACAAAAAATACTTTCCAATGTGTTTTTCTATCACAATGACAAACTTATTCAAAATGATCCCCGAGGGGAGCTGAAGATCTCTGCAGTGTCAAAGTCTGATGAAGGTTTCTACAAGTGTCAGTACTCAGGAAGAGAGTCAGCACAGAGCTGGATGTCAGTTAAAGGTGAGCAGGATCAAAACATCTGATGGAGTTTTCTAAACACGTCTGATGACTGAGAATGAACATTAGATTGTCTGATTTAAGTCTCGCAGTCTTCATAAAAGTATTTATTTATATAATTATAATTTATCAATAATTAATTATTGTTTATTGTAACTGTGTCAGGAGCTGACAGCTCTTCATCTCCTGTGTGGTTGATTGTTGGACTGGTTTGTGGAGTCTCTCTCATTATTATTCTCCTGCTCTTGTTGTATCGCTGCAAAAGAACCAACGGTGAGACCTTTTCCTTTACTTACTACAAACTCTTTATCATTCAAAGACACAAATGCATCATGAGGTTCAAATGTCTTTTTTCCCCTACATTTTTAATAAGGTACTGCTAATGAGCAGACGCTCAATCAGGATGGTCAGCAGCAACCGTCCTCCTCTCTTCTTCATGGTTAGTTTTTCACGTAGTTTCAAATATTGTGATGCTATTTGCAACAAGACTGTACTTATTACATCTTCTGCAGCTTTTCATATAAATGTTATTTGCAATAATATTTGTGTTTAAATTAGTATCACAGACATGAGGTGACTGATTTTCTCTGACCTGCAGGTGTTCGTTCTGTCTATGAGGCAATCAGAAGATGTGAAAACACTGAAAATGGTAAAGTATACACGCTGGATGATTAAACAATAGCTGTGTTTAACATGAAAGTGATTAAAATTATTATTTCAGGTCCAGCAGAAGGGGATTACACCAATGTCACATCAGTGATTCAGCTCAAAGTCATTAACAAGAAAAGTGAGTACACAAAATGTGAGATTTGAAATACAAATTGTATCCATCCATCCAATTTCTTCCGCTTATCCGTGGTCAGGTCGCGGGGGCAGCAGCCCAAACAGAGAAGCCCAGACCTCCCTCTCTCCAGCCACCTTGTTCGGGCGAACACCAAGGTGTTCCGAGGCCAGCCGAGAGATATAATCTCTCCAGCGTGTCCTAGGCCTCCTCCCAGTGGGACATGCCCAGAAAACCTCACCCAGGAGGCATCCTGGTCAGATGCCCGAACCACCTGAACTGGCTCCCTTCAATGTGGAGGAGCATGTCCTGGGCCTCCTCCCAGTTGGACATGCCCGGAAAACCTCACCCAGGAGGCATCCTTATCAGATGCCCAAACTGTCACGGTCTGGCTGGCAGACCGTGGGGATGTGGGGAAAGGAGGACCCAAAACGCAGACTCTGCGATGCAAACAGTGCTCTTTATTTACAGTGAAAAGCTGTAAACACAATAACTCCCCGTTGCTCCCTCGAACCCCGTGTGCGTGCTTCCCTCCGACGTCTGTGCTCGTGTTTGTGCTCCCCGCTGTTGTCTTTCCGCACTCCCTGTGCGTGCTGCCTTTCTGAACCACTCTTCCTCCTGCAGGGAAACCATAGAAGCAGCCGTCAACACTAACCCTCAGCGGGCATATACGAACAGCACAGACATATGCTGACACACTGACTTGGTACGATAACTCAATGATCCCGCGCCGGTGGGAGCTCCAACACTCTCCTAAGTAGCTCCCCCGACGAGCCTGATCACCAACAGGTGTGGCAGGAACTCCACCTGCACTATACACAGTGCAGGTAGAGGACCGCCTCCTGAGTCGCCTGACGATTTGCCAGAATCTCTTCGAGGCAGTCCGAAAGTCTTTTTCCATGGCCTCTCTGAATTCCTCCCACATCCAAGTTTTTGCTTCAGCCACCGCCCGCACCGTGTTCCGCTTGGCCTGTCGGTACCTATCAACTGCCTCCGGAGTACCACAGTCTAACCAAGCCTGGTAGGACTTCAGCTTGGTGGCTCCCCTCACCTCTTGTGTCCACCATTTGGACAGGGATTACCACCACGACAGGCACCAACTACGTTGCGGCCGCAGCTCAGTGCAGCAGCTTCCGCAATAGAGGTGCTGAACGTGGTCCATTTGGACTCAATGTCCCCAGTCTCCCTCGGAATGCTGTTGAATCTCTGCCGGAGGTGTAAGTTGAAGATCTCGCGGTGTTCCCATGTTCCCAAGATGCTAGGTGTTCCCAGCACACCCTCACTGTACGTTTGGGCACGCCAGGTTTGTCCAGCGTCGTCCCCTGCCACCTGATCCAACTCACCACTAGGTGGTTATCAGTTGACAGCTCAGCCCCTCTCTTTACCCAAGTAAACATATGGCCTCAGGTCTGGTGATACAATTACAAAATCAATCATCGACCTGTGGCCTAGAGAGTCCTGGTGCCACGTGCACTTATGTTCAAACATGGTGTTCGTTATAACCAAACTGTGGTTTGCACAAAAGTCCAATAACAAAACACCGCTCGGGTTCAGATGCGGGAGGCTGTTCCTCCCAGTTACGCCCCTCCAGGTCTCACTGTCATTGCCCACATGAGCATTGAAGTCTCCCAGTAGGACAACATGCTGGGTACTCTGAACCGCCACTCGGCGCATAAGCACAGATGATGGTCAGGACCTGTTCCCTGACCCGAAGGCGATGGGAGCAAACCCTCTTGTCCACTGGGAGAAACCCCAACATACCAGCAGCAATCCGTGGGGATACCAAGATACCCACCCAAGCCTGCCGCCTCTCGCCAGGGGCAACTCCAGACTGAGACAGAGTCCAGCCCCTCTCCAGGAGGCTTGTTCCAGGGCCCAAGCCATGCGTTGAGGTAAGCCCGACTTTATCTAGCCGTTACCTCTCAACCTCACGCACTAACTCAGGCTCCTTCCCCACCAGAGAGGTGACATTCCATGTCCTAATTGCCACTCTTCGTAGCCGGGGATCGGTCCGCCACGACCTCCGCTCATGATCGCTGCCCTGCTCACATTGCACCCGACCCCTACTGTGCCCCCTGTAGGTAGTTGGCCTGTGGGAAGATGGGCCCTTGTCCCTTTTTCGGGCTGTGCCCGGCCGGGTCACCAGATGCTCGCCCTCGTGCACCCTCCCCGGGCCTGTCTTGAGGGCGGGACCCCGGTAGCCCTATACCGGGCAGGGTAAACTGTTCCCACAACGGTCTGCAAAATATACATTGGTAATTATTCTCACTGATAATAAAGGCATTTGTGGACAAAACAGATGGTGTTTGTTTTGAAATGCTTTCATTTGATCACCTCAACAGGGCAACGTGGTGACCCAGAGGAGACCTCTTACTACAATATGTCAATACAAGTTCAGCCTCAGCTCTAAAATCTTAACAGCAGCTCTTTAGCTGTTTTTCTTTTCTTTTTTTCCCCTTTGAGTTTTTAAGAGAAAAGAAAAAGTCACTTTGAGTGAAAAGGAGAATATTTTGAATTCAAAGCAATGATCCTGATAGCCTGAGTTTATATTTCCTTCAGAAAGGATCACGCAGTGTGTTTTGCTTGTTTCACTACCATTATATAATAATTTTAATGGAATTTAATGTACTGTAGATCTGTTTTTATGTTTTTAACCATTTTACTTGATGTTTAATATATATAAATTCTTTCTGTAAAGCACTTTGTAACTCTGTTAATAAAAGTGTGATATAAATAAAGTGTGTTGTTGTGTGTCAGACTGAGAGTACATGTTTCAGCTGTTCAGTGTTGCGCATGAATCCACCGAAAAAGCATCATTTAAAGGCACTCATGTCATTTAAAACAGCTTACAACCTTCCAAAATGAACTAAAGCGATCGACATAATGGGAAGTGACAACTGCTCTGACGTTATGCTAAGCAGCTTTTTTACTGGGGAGGTCCGGTCTGTACTTTTGTGTAATGCTGATTTGTGCATAGTGAGTCAATATGCACCCCTGTAGGCTTCCTTGGCCTATTTAGCCCTTTTCAGCTGGGGTTCCAAGCTATCTGAGCAGGTACTTAAAATGTGATGTCCTCAGATTACATGCCACCGATTGGCTATTCAGTGGCATCACTGGATGAGTGATGAAAGCGTTTCAGTCACAAAAATCAAAAGCACCATTTCTGAAACCTGGCAAAGAGGGAAATTATGACAAAAAAAACAGCACTGTGGCCCCTGAGTCTGACAAAACGCTGCAGACAGAGCAGCAGCTATATCCTTGCCTCGACATCAACCTTTGTTGTAGCATTCATGTCACATACTAATTACATCATGGGATGCTATGATGCATTAGTATGACAAAGGCTATGCACATTGGGTAGTACCTGATTGTAATGAAAAACTGGACAGTCCAAGCTGTGGAGATTTGATCCGAGTAGGTAGTGTACACTATGAGAGCGCTGAATTAATGAGCTCATTTAAAAAAAAAATTAATGCATCACTGTTTTTCTTTAGTACCTCAACCTACCCCTTTAAAAATGTGTGTGTCATGTGTGTTGGATACAGTTAAGCAAATTTTGTGCAGGATCTTTGCTGTTTCAGAAAAAGACACAAGTGTTGGCTGTTTTTAAACTTTCCCTCAGCCTCTTCTCATGAGTGAAGTGCTCATTTCATCTGATGTCATCAAATCTTTCGTCCTCTTTACCCACATTCTTTGTGTGTCTGATGCACCTATCTGATGAAGTCTACATATAAATTAATAAATATATGCAAATAAAGCTAATTTAGAGGTAAAACTGATTGGTGGGGAATGATCGGTAGTAGGTCGCTTTACTAAAAAGATTCACGCTAAAAAGTATTTTTTTTAATCTGTTGCGCTTCACAGGAGGCTATTTTAGAAAAATATAGACCTGCAAAGAAATACAGTGATTATGTTTTATTCAAGTAATAGTAAAATATCAAAATACAAAGATGACAATACAGAATAATATCTTTGTTCTTCTGGTTGTGTTCATCATCTATTCTCCAGCAGGCTCATTTTTATCACTGAGAGATCTCATGATTTCTAACTGGGCCACGTAGAAAAGAGGAAATGTAGCCTGTGGTTTGAAAAGCTTATTTGTCATGCTGAAAATAAGCTTCCTTTAAGAGCCTCTGCATGGAAATGCTATAAATGTTCAAGCATGTTTGACAGATAAAACATTAAATCATTTATGTTTTATTGATATTAATGCATTTGTTTGTCTGCGTGTTACAGAAATGGTTTTTTTTTGCCTGTGATGATAATGTCAATTTGTAGAGTCCAACCAGCTGGTCAAAGGCTGTGCCAGTGTAGCTCAGCTAGCATTATGGCAGGGCAGTGATGGCCTTCAAGACAGTGAACTCTCATTTTGAATTTGTATTTGAAAAGGACAAAAACGACATCGTGGTTGTTTTTTTGGTGGAAGAGATGTAACCAACGTCACAATGATGTAGCATAAACATAATTTAAGGTAGAAGTACATTAATATGATAATGTAATGAATCTGTAAGTCACACCTGAGTTTACACCTAAGTTGGTTTAATAAAAACTAATCAGTGAAACTAATCAGTGAAAACAACAGCAGATAGTGATTAGAGCACTGGGGCTTATCTGTACCATCTCAGCACTTTAAAATAACAATGATCTCATATGTTTTTCTTTCATCAGCCTTCAGAACTAAAACGAGGAAGAACAATTAAAGCTACATGTGTGATGCCTTGCAGTTTAGCCCTGATAGCTGATAGAATGGACAGATTTTCCAGTGTTCGGTTGACTTTGGGACCTGAAGTGGAGTTTGGACCCAGAAACGGTAAATAACGTTAGACTTAAAGACCAGATAAGGACAATGAAAGATGTAAAGTATAGAACCAAAGGTGTAATGTCTGATGAGGCATTGAGGCCACCTAACCTAACTTCTGCAGGCCCCGTCAAACTGACTATTAAAGGCTTCCTCCTCTACATTATTTTAACATATTCCTATTCATTCATACCATTTATATGTTCAAAATATGTACTTATACTGAAATATGTGTGCGCTATATACCAATCAGCTGTGTAAATAACACTGAATTACTATTCATCATGGCACCTCCTAGTGGGTGGAATATATTAGAGAAGAAAACTTGACTTGGCCTCCAAATTCCAGGTTACAGGACTTAAAGGATCTGTTGATTACATCTTGTTTTCAGAAACCACAGCACACCTTCAGAGGTCCAGTGGAGTTTATGCCTTGATATATTAGGGCTGTTTTGGCTGCAAAAGAGGGACCAACCCAATATTAGGCAAGTGGTCATAATGGTGCCCGATGCCCACATAATGTTGTGTAGGCCGCAACATTAAATTTAACATGAAATTTTAATAATCTCTTTCATATTTGAATTTGTGAAACATACAGGTTTTTACCTTCAGTTCAACTGCACAGTGAGTCATTTCCTTTTTCTGGGGCCAGACTTAAAACTATAATCACACCACAGGGTGAGAACATTCACAGATCTATTCTGAGGTCAGAGTAGCCTTTTAATTATAGAACTGCATGGGAATATTTGAGCTGTGACTCAAATAAAATGCATAAACATGTTTTTATGCAGACAAAGAAGAATTTCAACATAATTCCTCTGATAAACAATCAAAAGGAAAAACAAATTAATTAAAAAGTGTTTAAAGAGAATACAGACTCCAAAGGAGAAAATCAGATGCCTATGAGCTCTGATAAGTTAGAAAAGCTTTACCACTGAAATAGAGACAAGAAGATCTGTGAAGAACTAAAACTTATTTGAAGTACACCTGCAGGATCAATCAGTCATTACTGGTTCAGTCATTCTGAATGATTTGTTTAAAAGAAAATATTACATTTTAAATACCATATATGACTTTAAAGTTGTATTGCATTTGTTACATTTGGCTCTTTTTTAATTATTTAAAAATTTATTTTTCAACTAATTTACAAATTAACGGTTTTTCGGAGGGGGGCAACAAGGTAAATGTTTGCAGTGGACAGGAAATGTGAACACGCCAAGCAGCGGCTGTGGTCAAAGCTACAGGAGCTGTTTGAGGTTGGTGTAAAAGGAAGGAAGCACAGAGAGGTGATAGAAGGAGGAGCTGAATATAAACTCTGGTCTTATCTACATTAAGTGCAGCTTCTCTTTGTTCTGCATTTATTATCAATGCAAAGTCGAACACTTTGAGATTAGATGCAGATCAGCG